CTAAGATGAAAGATCTATTTTGTACAAGAATTCCATACAAAAACTTTGTTTTCGTTTTTTGAAATGCAACCCCCTGAAATGGTCGCATATAATGGCTCAGTTATACATACTTGACATTGCATGAGAGTTGTCACATAAGGATCTGTTAAATAAGCTTTGCGTGTAAGCGGTTACCCAACGCACAACATTACATAGTATGAGAACTGTTGATTTTTGGTTTATACGCTAAAATAATAGATATACTATGCAGTGCAGTGCAAGGTATGCATAACTGAACTATAAGGAGAAAAAATTTATTCTTTAATATTGACTTAATTAACCCAGATTAAAACGTGCCACAAACAATCATCAACATGAAGCATTCTTGACTCTGTATTGATAACAAGCCAAATGGAAAAGTGTGTAGAAAAACTAAAGTGGTCGAATTTCGACAACTGGGCGATACTAGTGTCAATAAACAAGCATTTTTCAATAATTTTTTTTTTTTTAAGTATCATACTTTTTTAAATAAATAGAAAATATAGACATAAACTAGCAGACCCGGCGAACTTCGTCCCGCCCAAAATTAATTTTTTTATTGAAATATTTGGTCCAACGTTTTCGCCAGCAATTCACGTTCACGTTTGGTTTTGTGGTCGACAGAAGGCATATCCTCCACTGCCGTCTTAAGTAACCTGACGAAAGCGTTATACCGGGAAGAAGTCCTTGCGGCTCGATAGTGAATCGTCGTAGTATAGTTGGTGGAAATTTCTAAACTGCTGAGTATCATTGGTCCACATTATGTTTAGTCACCGTAAAGCAAGGACCGCAATGGTTCTTATGGTTGATTTAACGGGAGTAATTTGACTCTGATCCCGGGTGCCTCCGAATCGACGATTTTTAGCAATAATTCGGTTCCAGCGCTACTAAAAATTATCATTAAAATAGTTTCGGTCGTTTAGGAGGAGTTAAGCCACCAGAATAAGTCTTTTATATACTGACACTCTTCGGTATTTATTCCCATACAAAAAAACCTAGCACGCATTCGTTATACGGAGAAAATGTGCAACATCATCAGCGAAAAAAATTCTTAAAAATCAACGGTAACTTATAGCTATTTAAAACTTGCTCTTTATGACACTGAAATTTAGTGAACTACAAAACTGCATACTCAAAATTTTGTGTCATTTGATGCAAAATAAACTTTATTTCTATAAAAAATTTACAAAAAAATTAATTATATTCAACAATTTATATTTTATTATTTATTATTTTTTTGGCCCAATAACAATTATATTCAACAATTTATATTGAGCTCGAGGCCGTTTGCACCGGTTCGAATCCTACTGAAAGAAGTCTGAGGAGGAAATGTGGTGATTTCCGAAATAGCTATCACTTCTACCATTTTTTCAAATTATTGTTGCTTTTCCACAATAAATTTTCATTTAAAAAACGGCCTCGAGCTCAATATAAATTGTTGAATATAATTGTTATTAGGCCAAAAAAAAATAACAAAAAATAAATAAATAAAAAAAAAATTATTATGAAAAAAAAAACACTGTATTCTGAGTTTATATATTTACAGATAGGTAAAAGTTTCAATATGTTTGGAAAGCGACACGTCCCTTTTCCAGTAGCCCCAAAATCTCTATACCAATTTCCATTACACTACCAGAAATACTTCCAGAGATATACGGTATGAAAAATTCGATATGTATGGGTGATGCCACGCTCCCTTAATATATCGAAAGTCTGCAGTAGGTGTCCAAAATTTCGAAAAATCGGTACAGCCGTTCGCGAGATCACCCCTTATAAAAAGAAGGAGCTTCTCTTTATATAATTAGTGTAGGTAACACAGGGCAACACCGGTTTTGATGCGGCAAATGTTGAAAATGTTTTTGATAGGCATTTTTGTGCTGATTAAGAATCTGTAAGTATAAAGTTTCCATCAGCTCCAGATTTTGAGAAAAATGTGGTCAAAGTGTCAAAAAATCGCGTGTTTTAATATATGGGGTTATATACCCAAGTTTAACAATTTGTAGAAAACTTCAAAAAAGTGCAACAAAATTTCACCTAAATTCCAAACTTTTTTCTCGGAAGTGTTAGATTTTTTTTGAGTACACAGTTGTTTAGCCCCTGCAATTTTAGTCTGATAATGTGCAAATTTCAAGTAGCTACGAATTACCGTTAATTTTTTAGATTTTTTTTTTGTCGCATTGGCTTCCATATAATGAATAAACTCAATTTATTTGTATATGGAAGAAAACCGCAACACCTTTGGCGAAAAAAATTCAAAAAAATCAACGGTCACCTTTACCTTCAAACTTGCACATTATCAGACTAAAATTGATTGGGCTATAAAAATGTGTATTCAGAAAAATTCTAACACTTCCGAGAAAAAAGTTTGAAATTTATATGAAAATTTGTGGCACTTTTTTGTAGTATTCTACAAATTGTTGAACTTGGGTTTATATGGGTTTTGCTAGAGAAAGAACTATATTTTAATTGAAAATTCTTAACAATAAATAAATAAACACAAGTGGCGCACAATATCATTTTGAAATGGCGTGCTATAGATATGACCGATACTGTATATGCATACAAGTTATTTTGTCACATTGAGTTTGAGTAAAATTACAAATTTTTTTTTTTTGCCTTGGGTGAATGCAAGTTTATTTGAGAAAGCAACTTTTTTAATGCAAATCTAAGAAATTTTATATTAAAGGCCATATTAATATGGCGGTACGACAGAAATACCCGCATTGAAAATTCATATATTTACATAGGTATATGACAGCAATCTGGAAATTATCTTATCTAGAGAGAAGTTGTTTTGTTAAATGTCCACAGATATGTTAAAGGAACAAACTTATTTTCCATTTGTTTATGAATGATGGTGTGAACAGAAGTACTTTTGTTTTGCATCATATGTTTTTATACAATAGCGACAGTGCAAAGGCCGCTAATAAGATAATGTTATCTCAACTTCGACATATTTGTGGCACGGGTTGGGCTTGATTAATGTGATGAAAATTTTCAGGTAAATTACTTTTTTAGGGGGTAGAACGAGCACACAATGGGCTAACTTTTTTCATTGTTCAGCGCAATCTGGATGTTAATGTTAACTCAGTATTAAAAAATGTTTACCTGTACCTCGGTGAATTGCATTATTAAAAGCAGACAAATTTAGTAAATAACTAAATGACTTTTCTTTGAGTTGTACTGAAATAGTATATCCACAATTTAATACAATATGCTGAATACTCTAAATCAAAAATGATATTCTTGGTTGTTACGAATGGCTTTACTTAAACCAACTCACAAAAAATTATAAAAAAAAAAAAATTTTTAAATTTGTAAACTTGTAATGTACTCAATTTATGTAGGTGTAAAAAAATCACAACTCAAATTATTGTAGGGTGCACCCCGTAATACTATAATTAAATATTGCGCAATACTCAGAGCCACCATTGTGATTTTTTCAATTATTTTTTGAGATGGCATATTTTCAAAAACTATATTTTTTTATCAAAAAATTTGTATGTGAAAAATTATTCAAGAAAAAAAATGTAAAAAATATATCATATTTATTTATTATTTGTTAAAAATTTTAAATAAATCAAACACATGAAGTGTGAGTCCTGTCCATTTTGGTATGGAACGCCCCATATACATATGTATATATATGTTATACATATATATGTTATATATATATATGTATATGTTACCGGCCAAACCCGATCTTAGGACAAACTAGTTTTGCCTAGGCTAAACTAGATCAGGGGCCAAAGTATTTTTGCGCAGAACACCTTTTCGCGAAGGCGGCTTTCGGCCGCACTTCAAAAAAATAGCGCACATCAGTCCAACTCCAGTTATGCAGTCAACAATATTGACGGATATATTGGATCTAGGTAGAACTAGTTTAGCCTAGGAAAAACTAGCCTGTCCTAAAATCGGGTTTGGCTGGTAACATATATATATGCATATAGGTATGTAGGTATGAAATTTGTAAGCGAAACCAAAAAAGCATTGTACTTGTTTATTTTTGAACCTTAAATTCACAACTTCTCGTTCCCATCACTTTTTGAGTGTTGCACTGTGTTACCAGTAGCACGCTACTACCAAACATGTATTCTGCTTATCCCAAGTTTCGCCTGAAAAAAAATTCACCCCAATTTTGGTTTTTAACGAAAAGAAATCCAATCGTTATCGCTGAAGCTGTAGCATGCACTTAGGCGCTAAGTATTAACAGTGAGCTGGCAATGGGTTACATCGACTACTTTTCGTTCATTTACTTTGTTTTAATGTTAACGATCGATGATTTATTTAGTTTAAATGTTAACGATTGATAAGTTATTTGGTTTCGAAGTTAACACTTGATGGCCAATTTCACAGTGCGTAGTTACATAAGTCAGAATTGACAGTTAACTAGAGATTTTCAGTATAAAACTCTGTAGTTAACTCCCGATTCTGAGTTAACTACGCATTGTGAAATTGGCCCTGAATCTTGTTTCGTTTGTTGAGCATCCCTGCTCTTTTAACATTGTCTGCATAAATTCATAAAAATGCAGCTTAAAAATATTCTCTTATTTATACGAAAACTTGTTTTGCTTTTGAATAGTTATTATATATTAAATAATTTGCTAATCATTCCGCATTCACAGAAACGTTCGAATTGATCTACGACAACTTTTTCACATATGCGTACATACGGACATATGTATGTATGCATGTATGGATGTTTATTTGTATACATGTATGTAGTTATGTATGAATTTACAGCTTGCTGACGATTGCACCGATTCAGTTTCAAAGCAGATTAAAATTAAACTAAATGCGATTTAGCTGCTCAGCTCTTTTATAAGTGCCTCCCTCGAATCTAAAAGCCTGACTATGGCAACTTAACCAACTAAACTTAACTTAACGGAACGTAGAACTTAAGAGAATCAAAACGAAACATATTTCCACGTGGCATTAAGTTACGTTAAGTTTCGGCTGTTCAATTGTAAGCAACATCCATTTAACGGAATTTTTAAGTGAGAGCCGTAAGTTACGTTAAGTTGCCATAATCAGACCTTTTAGAACCCAATCGGCCGCAACTTGATCAACAGTATAGCTAATTTCGATTAATTGTAAGAGGTGAAGAAAACCGCCTAACAAAAATTTACATTCGCAAAAGTATAAACATGTAAATATTGCACATTTGCTGCAAGACTGTCATAATCCACAAAATCAAAAATACAAAGATAGTTTGTTTTAGTGATCTATACAACATAGAAGAACGGTAGCGTTAATTTCTGCAGCAAATGTGCGCTATGTACAAGTCATAATTGGAATACACATTGGCATATTTCATTTAGAATATTTGCAAATAATGCCTGCTTGTAAATGTTGTGCGAACTCCGTTTTGCGCATTTTGTATGAGATATGTACATGCATTCATATGGATAAGTATGTACACTGAGGAGCAAAACCGGAACAGTAATACATAATGTGAGTTTTCTTGCAATATATTCGCAATATATGAAGACTTTTTTGTAATCTAGTTTCGGAATTCACATTTCCAATGTTTATTTCATCAGAAGGCCTTAACAACAATAATTTATACAAGCAGATAAAGAAGAAAATTGCAAAAAAACGTAGCAACTAGATTGTTCCAGTTTTGCACCCAACAGAAAATTTTACCATTTGCTTGACTTTTAATAAATTTTCCATAACCAATTTGAATATTTTAGCTTTTATGGTCATCTTGGAATACTTTCGCACAGGTTTTAGACGAAATCTGTTGAGAACGCGCACCGGTTTTCCTCAACGCCATGCCCAAGGTCTTGCATGCGATTGGGCGAATTTTTGCAATGGAACAGTGGCATTTTCAAACAATTCCATAAGTTTTCTGTTGAATCAACTCTGGGCTTTACGCAGGTCGCTCCATGATTATAAAAACTTGGGGTTCATACCTATTTGGCCCCAGTTTCGGAGGATATTTCTGATAATTGTCCTGTTAAAATTGATAAAAGCCTGCGAAAAATATCCTCAGAAATTGCCAAATTCTTTGAAAATGCTCATTTGTTGTTACTTTTCTTTTTACCGTCGATTTTACCACAGTTCTTACTCCCTAAGGCGTAACACGGCCCTACATCATTAAATGTACACATACAAACCTAATAGTTTAAATAATTTGGGACGTTAGGCGTATCCCTGATGCAGGTGCACAGCACTTGAACCAATATTCCGACTTAAAACGTTTAATTTTATCCTCAGAGTTAAAAAATTTAGGGCCGTGCCCTAATTAATAGTAAATTTTGGTGGAATAATGTGGTCGTTTATGAAGAACTTGTAAATTCCCGCTTCAAAATAATACCAATCCAATGTTTTTTCTTAGTAAAAATGCGTTTCTGACAAAAAATTTTTCTGGATGTCAAAGCAGGCTTTCTCCTCTTTATCTTTGTGCTGCAATAACTTGTTCCCATGTCTTACATAATGTCCAGTCACTTGCTTTGTGGTGAAAAAGCAGTAATTTTTGATTTTGAACCAAAGTTTTTTGGTATTCAGAGACCCTCCAATATGCCTAGCCTAGCAAATTGCAATTTTTTGTGGTCTCTGGATCTTGCAGACTGAGGTCCGCCCTTTTATCGCTTGTTTAGATAACCATAAAACAGACATTTGGCCGATATGATTTCTTTCTTTATAGCGTAGCCTTTCTGACCGTTTTGCAAAAACTTTAAATTCTTTTTGCTTGGGTTGTGCACTTAAAGCACTCACAGCGAAAATCCCACGCGCCTTGATTACGAAATTGCAGGAAATTAGCCAGAACTCCTCTTTGAATTATAAAATTCAGCAAATACTAAGAGGGTGCAAAACTGGAACAATCCAGTTCATTTTTGTTTGGTCATTTTTTCCTGAGTTTTCATATGCGAATCTTAAAATTTTTATGGTCAAACGTTTTGTTAAACATCGGTAAGGCGAAATGCAAGTTTGAATTACCATAAAGTAAAAAATCTGAAGAAGTACATTATCACAACCTTAACTTTCCGTTTTATTGTTCCAGTTTTGCTCTTCAGTGTATATGTTATCTTTTCCTTAGAAATTCAAATGCACATTGGTACTTGCCGATATAATATAAATTACTTACACTCACCCGCTTCGCTGAGTGTAATAGCTCAACCAGCCACTGACGTAAAAACGTACGGCACGACGGCTGCCACGACCTTTCTTAAGGGATTCTCCTGTTAACGAAAACTCACCACCGCATGACGGTGACGTTGCAGTTGCTTCTCTCTAGGCTCTGTTATGCATACTTGGCATTGCTTGAGAGTTGTCACATAAGGAATCTGTTACTGCCCGTCTCCACAGGATAAAATTTATATGTTGATACATATGTTGGAATATAAATAGCCAATGGAGACCGCTCATTTCTCTTCAAGAGCAATATATATCAGAGCTTATATCTTGCCATCTATTGCCGGCAATTTGGTAGTTTGACAGCTACATGTTCATTTGCATGAGAACTTCGTGGCGGCAACATTATTGATATTTTTATTATTATATTTTTATTATTATATTATTATTATTATATTTATTGATTGATTGATTTATTGATTTAATATAAAAGCAAATATTGAAGTGTTTTCTGTTAAAGTATTTGTTATTATGTAATTGGATGTAAAATAGCCTATTTTCTAAATTTTTTAAGTGATTAAATCCGGCAAAAATACATTTTAGAAGCTATCTCACAAATGCTTATATCAAGATATAAAAAGCCCACACAAATATTGCCACTGATATAATTTATATCTAGCGACCAAAATGACAGCTGGACAGCAATAAATTT